GTGTGTGTGTGTGTGTGTGTGTGTGTGTGTATGTGTGTGTGTGTATGTGTGTGATTCAGGTACATGGAGGTCCATGTTTGCAGGCACAGCGCCGCGAGGCAGCGGCACCAGCAGCTGCACTTGCCGGCTCAAGGCCGAAGGCGTGTGCCCTGTTGCAGGAGTCGCCCCCCGGGTGGACTCGGCGGCAAAAGGGGCCTTGCGTGGCGAAGCAGGGAAAGCCGAAAGGCGCGCAAACCGACCCCTGGCATGAATCGCACCTGACTCTACCCATATGAAGGATACAACATCGAAAACACCACTCTGCTCAATCAGATGCGCATTGGACATCCGTTGGCATAGGCAATCGGGCCGCGCGGGGTATGCGCTGACGTCATCGCACCTGGGCTGTGAAGTTGCGGTACACAACCGCCCTGATGGCGATGATGTTGTCGGATGCCAGCCCCGCAAACCGCGTGGCACCGCCGAAGCCGCCGCCTGCGTGCGCGGCGAGGGCGGGGAGGAAGCGTCAATAGGATGAGAGCGGTGGGCAGCGACGCTGGAGAGAGGCGTGGCGGTGGCGTGGCGTACTTTGGGTGTGAAGAGGGATGGGGCCATCCCCCGGGGGGGGGGACTGTTACACCGAGGTGTGGGTCGTCACGCGTTGGTGGGCATCCGCGGCATTCAGACAGCCAGACACGCCGCCGGCACGTGAGATAGCTTCATGCGACTTCATGCCACTGTTGAAACCCACCCAGGCTGTAGCCAGCGACGCCGACGTCGGGCCTCTGGCCGCCGGGGAAGCCGCGGGTGCCGTTGCTCTGCTCGAAGAGGTCAGCCAGCAGCCTTAGGGGGATTGATTGCAGGTGACGCATGGAGGGGGTTGGATGGGACGCCGGGCGTGGTGGACCGCGAAGAGGTGCGAGGCGGATTAGGGAGGAAGCTTTGGTGGGCAGGATTGATGGGGGAAGAAATAAACAGCATCGGTCGTTGAATGCCCTGTTGATCCTTGCCACCAAACAGGGTTTCTTGGTGCAGGCATCCATGCTGCATGCGGCCAGGAAACAAGGCGTGGTGGGTTTGGGTCTGACAGGCCGAAGTTGGGACGTTCTGGGTCCCCAGATGACAGCAACAGTGTGCAGGTAACATCGAGCCAGGCGCGCCGGTGGGCGGCGGGCACAAACGGCAGGGCAGGGTGCGGGCGCTCACTGTCCGATGCGTGCGCCCGCCTTGACCACGACCGTCTTCTTATCCGGCGAGAGCTTCACGCCGCGCATGTGCTTGTTGAGGTCGACGGTGACGTCACCGGTGGCGACGGTCTCGCCTGAGGTGACGCGTTGGGGATTTGGGCGGAAGTTGGCCGGAGGAGTGGCGCGCGCCTGAGTGCGGGTGGGGATGAACAACACGGCGGCGACAGGATACCCGAGCTCTAGACAGCCTTGATGCGCGGTGCGCCCGAGATCAGCTCTTGCAGGCTGGCATGTGTGAGAAGTGCAAATAGCCTGCGAGTGCAAATAGCCCAAGGGAGCCCACGAGAAGCGCAAGGCATGCCGCAGGCGCTGCGCGGCCGCGGCGCGCACCCTGGTTGCCGTGGCCGCCGCAGCGGGAGTGCACCCTGACGCCGTGCTGTGCCGCGCACTCCACGATCGCCATAATCTCAGCTTCGCTCTTGGGGAACGCCACTGTACATTTCCAACATGTATCAATGATTGAAGGGTAGATGCTCGGGGTTAGGATGGTTTCACCACCGAATGCAGATCGTGCGCCCCCCCCCTGCCGAGCTGCGGCGCCGCTGGGCTGCTGCAGGGGGCTGCGTGCGTTTGATGGGCCCCCCGAGGCCGCGAGCAGCGCGAGCGTGGGCAAGCGGCGGGTCCAAGCGAGGGCCGAGGGTCGGTCGTGCCTGCTGCCGGGAACTGCGTCTGGAGTGATGTGTACACCTGGCGCGCCGCGAGGTATCCCTTGTCAGCCGGCGTGACGAACTCGACGCCCGAATTTTGCAGGCATTCGCGCTGGGGGGGAGGGGAGGGGCGAAGGAAGGGCTCCCGGTGGGCTTGAGGGGGGCGAGGCTTGCAGCACTCCTGACGAGGACGCGGGTGGCGCAGTCCCATGAGCGGGGTGTTTATGCTTGCTTGATTGCTTCCTTGGGTGCTTGGCGCGTGCATTCGCGGGGAGGCGCCGGGGAAGCCTTCTGAGCAAGCGGGCGCGCGCGCCGGCGCCGCCGTCTTCAGCAACAGTATGCGTTTTGCAAGATAGGAGGCTTGTGTGTCAGGAGGTGGATGCGAGGAGCGGCTTCATCCGACGAGAGCGCGGCGGGCGGCTGCCGGGTTTGGCGGTCTGCGCGCGCTCCGCTCACCAAGGTGGCGTAAACGGCCGGCTCGACGGCGGTCAGGGCGGCGTGCGACTGGTCAGAGGCGCGCGCGGCCGCTGCCAGCAGCAGCAAGAGCAGCAGCACCCAGGGGTGGGCCGCCGGCGGGCGCAGCGGCGCCGTCGGCCGGATTGGCATCGTGCCTGTGTTGAAGGGAGCGGTTTGCTGGGGCGTTGTGGTGAGGCACCACAGTGCGGCTATGGGCGCACCGGGCCCGTTGTTGTGCGAGGCCACAGAGCACGGCCCGCAGTGGGCGGCGTGGAGGTGTCGTCGCTGTGTCACCATTGGGCCCGTCATCGTGGCCGCTGTAGTGGCCCACATGCGCCGCCTGCCCAACCCCACGAGCAGCCTGGTTCAACTTTGGGCAAGCACGTTACTGAGTCCAAAATCGTGGCTGGCCACCGTGATGATCACTGTACCACGGTGTGCGGCGGCGCGCCCGCAACTCCGCAACAGACCCACTCCATCTGCCGAAACCATCAGTCATTGCATAGAAAACGTCTGATAACTCTTCTCACCGGCAAACAAGGACAGATCCGGCCTCAGCGTGCGATCTAGGCCTAGCAAGAAAGCCACAGCTCCGTCCCACAATAATATGCGAGGCAGAAACACAAATCTCTGCTCAAAACGCCGACATTCCACGGAATGCATGCCCCTTGTCGGCTTCGAGGTCGCGCTGGACCAGCACGCAGGCTGTCCAGCGAGGTCACCAGCCACGAAGAAAGTTTCCGGGTGCTACACTCGTTGTCACCCCTCCAAAACCTTGAAGGGCTTGTTTGCATGACTCCCAGAGAGCGTCCTAGAAGCCGACAACCATAGTTTTGACGCCCTGGGCCTGCCCTTCAAGTGTTCACTGTTGGGATCAAGGCGCGAGCTACGTAGGGGTCGCACACAGTGAGTGAGACGACGACCTGGCACTATCGGAAGGAACGTACAGACCTAAATCATAATTAGTGGCCAGCGTGCCGTGGGGAGTCCAGTTGGTTTCAAGCCAAAGGCATGAAGTCTCAATAAACAAGCGCGACAGCCCAGGGCGAAGTGAAGCCCTTTACCTTGAATAATGAGGATTGTGCTACTAGAGAATGCTCTCGGGTTCAGCCGGCCACGGGTTGGATCGGCCGTCGCCGCGCCTCTTGTGTCCGCCGATTCAACATGCTGCTTCGCAGCCCACAGCTTACCCTTTCGCCAGCGACTCGCCCTCACCTGCGGACGACGCACCGGCGCCCCCATCCGACGCCGCCGTCCAGCCACCACCTCCATTAGACAGCCGCTCCCAGATTTCCGTTTCACCGCCACCCTCCTCCCTCCTTGAATGACACATGGGCAGGCCACCCAGCATGAGGGCCGCCGCAGTCACCCTCCTGGTCCTAGCCCTGGCCTTCGCGCCGGCGCAAGCCTCTTTGCGCCGCGCCCTCACCGCGCCGGCGCCGGCCAAGGCCAAGGCCAACGCGTCGCCGGCGGCGAAACCTGCCGTGGCCGCTGCGCCCCCGAAGGCCAACGGCCCCACCAAGCAGGCGGAGAAGCTGTATTTCATCTTCGGTGAGCCGTGGCTCGCCCGCATCCATGATCAAACTGCCAACGCCGCCCTGATAGAGATTGCAACACAACCTGCACCCCCAAATGCGCGGCGCCGCGCCACCTGCGTGCCCCCAGGGTGCCCAGCCGTTTCCCACGCCCCGCCCGCAGCACCCCGACCCTGCCAAAACACCCTCCCCACCGCGCGTGCCTCGGGGACCGGGGCTGTGCGCGCAGGGTATGGGTCCCTTCTGAATTGGGCGTCCACCGTGCGCAGCAACTGCGGCCTGACCGGGCTATCAGAGGACAACATCGCAGCGCTGGAGAAGGTGGGGGAGGGGGGAAGGGGCGGGAAGCCGAAGGGAACGGAAGCTGATCCGATCCGGTCTGATCTGATATTGGTTTGGGGTTGTTCTGAGGACACGGAGCACGCAGCGAGGCTCTGACGGGGCAAGAAATGATGTTCGCGGCACAGGCGCACAAGGAGGTCGAGCTGGGGGCCGCGATTACACCCCTGCAGGCGGTCCCCTTTGTTTGTCCCCTATCGACGGTGTGATTACCGACACCCAACCCTGCCCAAGCCGCGCGCGCTGCGGCCGCGCGCACCCCCCCCTCCGTCGCAGCTGCTGGACATCGGGGGCGTGGACTTCAACAAGGTCCTCAACGCCTGCACCGTGAAGCGCCCCCGCGCAGTGCGCGTCAAGGTGCGGCCACGCAACACCCCTGCAACATCGCCTGGCATGCCCGCCCCTCCGTCCGCCAATGGCCCTCGCACCTGCTGCTGGCTCCCTCATGGACCCGCCGATCTCGGCGCTCTCAATCCGTACACGTTTGTCCCAACAGCTCCGCGCTCGGACGTGACTCGCTCTCGATGACATCACACAGGGCCTGGAGCGCGGGTGGTACGAGCGCATCACCAACGCCAAGAGCACCCCGGGCAACCCCTTTCCGGGGTCGGCCTTCAATGTCATGTGGACGTCCCTGGGGGCCGTTGAGAAGCCGGGCGCCTACTCCACGGGCCTGGTGCGGGCCGCAGGGGGCTGCGGGGATGATGGCGTTTGCGACCCGATGAGGGCGGACGGCCTCGCAGCTGAGCGGCGCGCGTGCTTACTTGGTTCGTCGCCTGCTGCGCGCGCAACGCGCCAGCAGGCGCTGGTGTCCCCGATTCCTGCACGCTCGCACACAGATCCTTCTTCATGTGGGTGTGGAAAGGAAAAGTGATGGCTGGCGACGTTCATAGCCCCTGCAACTGGCTGCATTTTGCCCAAACACACCAGAGCATGCAGGCATTCACACACGCATGTGCCACCTCATGTCTATGCACATGAACAAACACACACCTTGACGTCTCGCCTCATTCCTGTTGACGTCACCATCATGCCCCATACACCAAGAAATGTTGTGCAAGGCAATCAACTCCACCCCCCCATTCATCATGCGATCGACCCCACCCCCAAAATCATCATGCAATCAGGTCTACGAGGTCACCGAGCAGGCCTACAAGAACACGGTCGCCCGCGAGAGCGGCTACAAGCTGCTGCCCCTCCGCGTCAGCGACATCGCCGTCCTGTCAGGCGCCAAGGTGCGCTGCGCCGACGGCGCACCACGATCATCAACCGTCCAAATCTGAGAGGATCCAAGGATGGTGGGGCTGGATTGTGTGGCTATCCGCAGACTGTTCTTATGGCTGGGCGAAGGGTTTCTGCGGGGCGCCGAGGCGCGCTTGCTCGGTGCAGCACGTGCGGGAGAGGCTGTCGGGCCCGGCGATAGCCGGGTTGCCTGCCCTGGCCTTGCGGGCACGGTCTGGGCGGCCACGCGGCTGGAAGCTACAGGTGTGCAAAGCGGGGCCTGACGGCGGCAACTCGCAACACACCCATGTACCAGAGAATCCCAAAGCCTCAAAGGCCCGTGTCATCACCGGCCCCCCACCTTTCCCCGCCCCTGCCCCAAGATCCCCAAGGACGCCGTCGTCACCGCCTTTGTGTCCTACAAGTCGGTGACGCCGGCGGCGGACGCGCCCGTACCGCTGTCGTACATCGACGTGTGGCTGGGCGGCGCCATCGACCTCCAGAAGCAGTACAACCTGACGGGGGACGCCTATGCCAAGGGCTCGCCCGGCGGGTGCGTCATTGGATAATTGTGCGTGCGCGTGTGTGTGTGTGTGTGTGTGCACGCGCGTGTGTGTATATATGCACCCACGCATGTGCGCACTTGTGTGAGTATGTGCGTGTGTGTTTGTTTGACGTATGTGAGGGAGGGGAGATGGAGCGAGTGAGGTGGGTCGCATGTGCGCATACCATGCCTCCCAGGGCTCTTGTAATGACTGCTGCACACCTGGAATAGAGATTGTGACGTCAGGGCGTGTGTGCATGTTCAGTTTTGGTCGAATTTCGCCACACCTATCTCCATCTCACCCAAACCCTCCCTCTCCATCTCACCCAATCCCTCCCCCTCCACGCACACACACGTGCGCAAGCTCTCACCCATTCACATGATCGCATGCACGCACAAACACACACTTACACGCACACGCACGCTCACACGCACATGCACAAACACACGCACGCACGGCCACATGCCCGCATACACACATGTGCGCACACCACACACCCGCCGCCCCCCATCTCGCAGCTACAAGTCCTTTGTTGAGGAGACCCTCAAGACCACCAGCGCCTGGACTAGGTACATCATCAACGACAGGGACCAGGCGCTGAGGCCCTTTGGGGAGACGCGCAACGTCGCGCAAATCGACGATGTGAGTCGACAGAGAATGTCATGCCTACATGCCATTCGTGCGCGTGCACGCACATGTGTGTGTGTGTGTGTTTGACAGTGTGTTTGCGCGTGCGTGTGCGTGTTTTGTGTGTGTGTGTGTGTAGGCAGGGCTTGGTTTGGGGGTGTGGTGGATGTGTGAGTAAGGCACCTGTTGCGAGGCAAATGGCCATGTGGTCGTCCACGGGGGCGTGAGGCGGGAACATATGCATGCGTGGATCCGCGCTTGCCCGCTTCTGCGTTGGTCGCGCCATTGGTCGCGCCGTTTGTCTTGCCAGCAGGCAGACCGCCAAGCAAACAGCGGGATCCCTGGCACGCAAAGTGCCTCTTCATGCTCTCAACTGTCCCCACCCCCCAGCGCTCATTCCCCGCACCCGCGCCACCATGAATTGTCCCCTGCAGTCCTTGTACAAATTCGTGGATCACAAGAACCTGGCGGGCATGCGCTTCCTGGGACAGCCCTGGTAGCTGCCGAGAAGCCAACAACCGGGCCTGTACCCAGCTGCAGCAGCCCGCTGCAGCCCTGGTGCAGCGTCAATTCAACAGATGCCATGTGGCTCTCCACCCACAAACCTGCAGGCGGGGCTGCGCCGGCCGCGGCGTCGGGCGGAGCGGGCGGGGGCGCGCCCAGAGGGGCAGCCGCTCCCCAGCTGCTCGCGGCGTGTGTGACAGGGAACGCGCGCGCCCAACGTGCAAGGGCCGCCCCCCCCCCCCCGCCCCCCAGTCGAGTGGAGCATTTGACAAGCTTAATGGACCGCTTCGCACAACAAAAAGTGATTCAACAACAGGTTTCGCACCTTCACTCCCAACACCACGGGCGGTATTGTGTTGCCAACAAACGCCACCTTTGCGTCCCCCTTGCAGCAGGCGGCGCTCTCCGAGGTCGTCACGCCGCCTCCGCCTGCCAACCCCGAACTGTTACAGCACTGCCACGTCTGCGCCCCGCCAAACAAGCACCACGAGCCTTGATGCTCGCTTCTTTCGTATGCTAGGAGGTTCTTGGCCCAGTTTTGATGCAGATTTACTGCACACACACAACGCACCCTTATTGCTGCTTCCACATGGGTCATTTCCAGGGCCATCCGTCTCATGCTCCTTCCTCAGCTGCTAAACACCGCAGCGCTGCAGCCACTCGCTTTCTGTAGTTGGTGTAAAAACCCTCTGCCTTGAACCCTTTCGTGGTAGACGAGAAGAGGCAATTATTCGAGCTGGTGATCAATGGTCGTAAAACCCAAGAATGGCCCGGCAGCCTGTCGGCTGTGAGGGTCAAAGGGCCCTGCAGCCCTCAGCAGCCTGCATGCCTGGGTGACCGACACAGCAAGGCGCCCTGCCACGGGCCCCATGCGCTGGCGTATCCAACTGCCGTCACAGCCTTGGTTGATCGACGACCTTGATTACATGATGCCCGCCAAAAATGGAGCGAGGAGCGTCAGGGCAGAAGGGGTAGAAGGAAAACAACAGCAGACATGAGAGGAGAACAAGATGACCCCAACAAATAAAGTAACTTGCAGCCAAAGTTGACGAGGAGAGATTGAACGCAATGCTTTCAGAACAGGGAATTCAGAAAGCATCGCAGCCCTGCTAATTGCTGCCATCACCGCCCCCTGCCGCGGGGGTGCACCCGGCGCTTCTCCGCGTCGATGATGCCCGCTATCGCCGCCGCCGCCTCCTGCACCTGGCCCGCCCTGTTGACCACGACGTAGTCAAACTCAGTCAAACGCGCGGTCTCCTGTGGGTAGAGATCGCGCGACGGGGGTGGGATGATGTGAATGTGCCAATGCATGGGTTGAGGAAATAATAAAGAAAATGAGTGGGTTGCTTGGGGGTGGGAAGCCCAACAGGCAATGTGTATATTATTCAGATGAGGCGTGCACGTTTGGCCGGATGTCGGCGGGTGGGAGCAAGGCTTGGTCGGTTCAAGGGGGAGCAAGCGCGATCTGGAGGGCAGAGGCCTGGCGTGCACCCCAACCCCAGCAGCGCCCATCACCTCCAGCCACGCCGCGCCCCAGCAAAACAGCAGGCATCAACAAAATGCGGCGCGGCCGCACCTCGCGCGCCGTCCGCACGCGTGTGATGAGCTTGTCCAGGGGCTCCGTCGCGCGCCCCACCAGCCGCGCCGCGAGGGACGCCTCGCTCTCCGCAGCCAGGAATACCGAGATCGCCTCCGGCATCAGCCCGCGCACCGTGGCGGCGCCCTGCGCGGCGCGACGGGGTGGGGAGGGGGGACAAGGGGGGGGAAGGAGGGGCTGCCTGTCAAGCGGGGACGACTGGCCGCACAGGGTGCGGGACTGCGGGCGCGCATCGGCGGCCGCGCGCCGCTTGTTGCCAGGCCCGCCGGCCGGCAGCGGCGGGG